AACTCCCTACTACATCAATACCATAACCACCACTAACACAAATAAAACTTAAAACACATAAATGAAATGTTTAAAACTGAAAATACAATTAAACATGCTTTAAATCCGAGAATGAAACTCCTCCACCATAAAACCAAGAGTTTGTAACCCTTCAAGAGTGAATGAACTGGAGTTTGAACTACTTTCAAGTACTTTGAAATCTTGTTCATTTRATGCATCTTGAGTTCAACTTAGACTTCCATTAATGCAACTTGAGTTTGTAGTAAATGAAGTTGGACTTGTTCTTGACTTCATTCAATGCCACTTGAGGTTGCCATAAATGACACTAGAGTGCATTTAATGCAACTCCAATTTGTTGTCAACTTGGACATAGGATTCTCCAACAACTTCCTTTAACTCTTTGAAGACTAAGACACTTTGGTTCATATCAATATATTTTAATTGCAGCTCATTAAATCCTTGAAAGTATAGCAACTACCAAATCGATTCTTAAATCAGGATAATTAATGTATTGGAAGGATGCTAGAAAAAGGTTGACCATTAAATCAAATATTAATTCGACAAATTATTTTTATTTTAGGAAATATTTTTATATCAAATTATAAGATTCTTAATTAATCAAAATTAGAATTCACTATTCATAGTGGGGTAATAAATTGATGACAGAATAATTTTGATAACACTACTCACTAGTATAATAAACTTGTTCATAAATAAATTTGACAGACTCAACTTTAAGTTAAATAATGTTGCCTTGAAGTATATTCTAATAAATTTCGATAATATCCATTATAAAAATACTTTATTAGATTAAGTGTTTCGACTATATAAAAAGGTATAGTTTAAGAAAGATCAGGAAAAATCTGTTCATATATTCAAATATTCTCAATTGAATAAGTCTCCCACAGCTTGAAAAAGTAAATGTAATTAATTCTACTATCGTTTTTTCTCTTAGGCTACTCGTTGTTTATAATCATTTGATCTTCAAAGGAATGAAAATCATATGAGAATCAAAATTTTCACTCGTCTTTATTGCACCTTTGTTTATAAACAATTGATCTAAGATCTCATTTGGAATGAAATCAATCGGTGGGACATATCTATGGCTCCCCGACTATAATCTAATATTATCCTATAATCTCATCATTCCCAACCTTATTTTTATTCCGTGGGCACCACATCTTTATAATTATTATTTTACGATTTTTACCATTTTTTTCCTCTATTAATGAAACTCGTTACTTTTTAATTAATTGTTATACATTTTTATTTTTCTTTATTTATACTACTAGTTTTTATTCTAATAAAAATGTATACAACTTTTATTAATTAATATGATTTTATTATAAAATATTATAAATTTATGTTTAAATTTTTAGTTAATTAATCTTACTTTGTCATTTTTAATTAATATCAATACCTTTTTCTTAAATATTATAAATTTATAACAATGAGGTTTGATAATATTTTCTATTAAGAGGTGGTTGTGTTACGTTTTAGTGAAAAATTATTTTTGTTGATCTAATTTTATTTTAATGATTTATTATTTGTTTATTAAATCAATTGTTGTAATAAAAAAAATTACTACCAATAAAATAGCATTAAAATAAATTAAAACTTATTATTATTTTAATTAAACAATATTAACACAACAATAAATTCATAAATAGTTAGAAATTAAAAAATGTGTACTAATAATTTTAATATTTAATTTCAGGTTTGAATTCCATATAATTGTTAGTAAACAACGGAATAACAATCTCATTTCGATTGATTTTAATTTGATTTGATTGAAAATTAGGTAAAAATTGACACAAATTGCCAAGTTTAAGAGTAAAAATCAGAAACTTTCCCCGGCGGCCTAATATAATATAAATGCATGTTTTTCTTTCATTTACTTTGATTAGTCAATGTCTACCTAAACTAGTTTATAAAACCGCAAGAAGTTACACGTTAATTAGGAATCCAAGTTTCAAAATGGATCAACACTTTGTTAAATGATTGATGACCAATAAACCACAAAAATCAAAATATTATTTTTTCTTATAGATGAAACAAGTACTGAAGTTGAAAGAAATAATAATAATTTAATAAAATGACACTATAAAAACAACAAAATTATTAATTTATTGAGTTGTGACAATAATAATGCAAATACTCAATATTCTTACACATGGAACATGACAGTTATTTCAAGGAACCAAATTATTTTATGCTAAGCACCGGAAATGATGGCAAATTAAAATATAGAATGATATCCTTTTTAATGATCCTTTCAAGGTCAACGTTAATTAACAAATGTTAAGGTAACGTGTAACACTAATAATATTATCATTCAATTTGTTTGATTAATTGAAAACTTATAKTATAGTATACCATACATATCCATTTGGGAAAATCTTCAACATTTAGGGAATATTAAAGTTAACATCTTCCCTCGTTGAATATTGTTTTCCTTGGAATTACAAGTCCGGCCATGTACATCTTCCAAAGTATCTTTTAAATGGAAAGGAAAAAAAAAAAAAAAATTTACCCCTAAATTTGACCACGTATTAATTTTCATGGAATGTGTTGCAATTGATGTACTCAAAAAGAAGAAAACAAAAGTGTTGCAATTGTCGTGTGGAGGATGGTGTAGTGACAAATATATATGAGGCCTTGTGATATCACCTACTATACTATGAGGTCTTGTATTCGAGTGCTACGCTGGTCAATATGTTTATCGGATACATAAATTGTCCAACCTGAAAATTTGGATTGGTACAAAAAATCATCCGCTAACCAACCCAACCCGTGAACCCCCTAATTTTTAGAGTGTCTTTTGGGGTGGTAATAGAATTAATTTTCTAATTTACAACACCTAGGAAAGTGATTTTGAAAMTAGGATTGCCAAATACACCCCTTGATTCTATCAACATTCAACATCCGAGGTTCGTTTAAGAGAAGTTCTATCAATATTGAATGAGAGAGAAGTTGACTCTTGAACGTCACCCAAAGATTTATTCAAGAGCCATTAAAAACCACAAGCTTCACTAATTTTTCAGATATATTTAGGGAAATGCATTCCAAGAAAGGTCTCATTACTCACCCACATGGCTTCTTCCTCCTCTATCTTTTCGATCTCAACTCTTCTCCTTCTTCTTCTTCCTCTCTCTATTGACTCGCTTTCCTTCAAAATAGATCGATTCAAGCCCAACGAAAACGACRTAGTACTTTACCAAGGAGATGCCACTCCTTCTGTGGGAACCGTCGAATTCAACAACATTGACTATCTGTGTCGTGTCGGCCGGGCTGTCTACAAAGACAGTGTCCCAATCTGGGACTCGAAAACAGGAAAAGCCACTGATTTCACAACCCATTTCTCCTTCGTAATTGACACCCAAAATAAGTCCAAATATGGCCATGGAATCGCCTTCTTTTTGGGCCCATCTGGGTTCCAAATCCCTCCGAATTCTGATGGTGGCTTTCTTGGCCTTTTCAACACTTCCAACAGCGATTCCACCGCAAACCAAATACTTCATGTGGAGTTCGATTCTTACTACAATGAAGAATGGGACCCTCCGTTTGAACATGTGGGCATCAACGTTAACTCCATTGCTTCCTCTAATTACACTCGATGGAATGCTAGCTTGCACAGTGGGGACACTGCTGATGTGTGGATCTCGTACAATTCAACTGTGAAAATTTTGAGTGTTGTGTGGAAATATCAGAAGACGGCGAGTTCGTTTGAAAATACCAGCCTTAGTTACCAGATTGATCTGATGAAGGTTCGGTTTTGAACTACCCTTAGGTTAATTATAAGGATAAATTTATGGATATTTTGACAGTTATGAATACTATCCCATGTGTGTTTCTTCTTGTGTTCAAAATATAAGTCAAATTTTGCGCATTGAAAAAATATATAATTTTTTAAAGAGGAAGTTTCGACATATTTGCATAAGCTTTTAAGTTTGGGTTATTTAGGTATAATCATTTTGTTTTGATTTTTCATTCTTAAAAATGAAGTTTAGAAGCATTTACTATTACTTTCATTATATTTTATGTGTTTCTTAATTATATAGTTGTTTTAGATATTTTGGCCAAATTTCAAAAACCGAAAAAGTAATTTTCAAAAAGTAGTTTTCAAAAGGTTTTTTTTAATTTAACAAAAAATTCAAATATATTTTTAAGGGAGCTAAAAAGCTAAATAGAAAATGGTTAGCAAACGACCCCTTAATAATTATTTCGATTTTACACTTTTAGAGTCCCAGAAATATCAAATAAGGTATATAAGTGATAACATATTAGATACTCCCATGTCAAAGGAATAGATTTTGCTATTTTTACAAAATTGAAAAGTAGTTGTTACTTTTGCAAATTTTTCTTATTATCATCATCATCATTACTAACTTTTTGCCGGTGCCTATTTTAATTACATATTTTTTTTCTCTCTTCAGATACTATAGAAAATGTAAAATGTAAGAAGGTAAGAATAATCTTCAAAAATGAAAATCTCAAATGGAAATAATAATCAAACAAAAAAACCTTAATCTTTTATTTATATTCTGAAGACTCGAAATGGCACTATGCAGACTTCTATTTTGAAAGCATGTTTAACGAGCATAATTTGGAGGATAAAAGTTAAGTCAATAAGTCAAAGGAAATTTAATCTTTTATTCTCATGCTTTAACAGGTTCTCCCTCAATGGGCAACTGTGGGATTTTCAGCTGCAACAGGTCTGAATTTAGAGAGACATACGTTATTTTCTTGGGAATTCAATTCCACTTTGGACATCAAGCAAACAAGTGAAAATAATGGGAAGAAAGTTGACATAATTGTGGGTGTCACCGTTTCAATTGGAGTCTTGATTATCATGGCAACAACAACATTTGCACTGCTTTGGAGATTGAAAAAAAAGCAAAAGAGAACAAAATCAGAAAACCCTGAAGAGGTAAATTTGACGTCCATTAACGATGATTTGGAAAGAGGGGCTGGACCCAGAAGGTTTTCTCACAACCTCCTCGCCATGGCCACCAACAACTTCTCCATTGATAGAAAGTTGGGCGAAGGAGGATTTGGTGCAGTATACAGAGGCTACGTACCAGATTTGGATTTGACAATGGCTGTCAAAAAGATCTCAAGGGGTTCTAAACAAGGAAGGAAAGAGTACATAACCGAGGTGAAGATCATTAGTCGGCTGCGCCATCGTAATCTGGTGCAGCTCATGGGGTGGTGCCACGACAAGGGCGAGTTCTTGTTAGTTTATGAGTTCATGCCTCATGRCAGCCTTGATTCTCATCTCTTTGGGAGGAGAACCCCTCTCGCTTGGGCTATGAGATACAAGATTGCATTGGGTCTGGCCTCGGCATTGCTATATCTTCACGAAGAATGGGAACAATGCGTGGTTCATAGAGATATTAAATCGAGTAATGTTATGCTAGATTCGAACTTCAATGTGAAGCTTGGGGATTTTGGGCTGGCTCGATTGATGGACCATGAGTTGGGTGCGCAGACGACTGGGTTGGTGGGGACTTTGGGATACTTGGCTCCTGAATACATAAGCACGGGTAGAGCTAGTAAAGAATCAGATGTGTTTAGTTTTGGAGTCGTGGCTTTGGAGATTGCCACGGGACGAATGTCGAGAAACTCCATGGAAATGGGGTCACATAAGGGTTTGGTGGAGTGGGTTTGGGACCTTTATGGGAGTGGACAAATTCTTGCAGGTATGGATGAGAAAGTACAGTGTGATTACGACGAAAAACAAGTGGAGTGTTTGATGCTTGTTGGACTTTGGAGTGCTTATCCAGACCCTAATCTTAGACCTTCAATAAGGCAAGTAATTCAAGTTCTCAACTTTGAGGCAACGATGCCAAATCTTCCAAGTAAAATGCCGATTGCTGTGTATCATGCTCCTTCCACATCGATGAGCTCAAATGAACCTCCCATTTCAGTAAGTCTCGACGTAGGTCGTTGAACAACAAAAGGGCGATGTTGATTATCTCATAAGAAAAAGATCAAGAGACTTAATAATGTTTATTAATATATGGAACCTTGCGAATATTAAGAAGGGCTAAGTTTCACGTCTATAACTTACACACGAGATTTGTTATTTCGTTTTTGTTCTTCATTTTCTAACTCTATTTTGATTGTGAGATTTTATATCTTATTTGTTAAGGATCCAATTTTGAAAATATGAACCTAAAAGAGTTTATAAGATAAGTGGATTACTCATCTTATTACCATTTGGTCTTATTACTCACCCGAACTAGAGATATATTGAAATATAAGAGATATAATAACTACAATTAGGAGGTACTTGAACCCTCCCCTTGAGTATTCATTCTTATTCGGTCTAAACCACACTCACTAATTATAATTGTCTACCTTCGTCTTTTTGCCTATACTCTATTTATAACAAACCTCCTAACGTAATTACTAATATGTCTTTAATATCCTAATAATATCCATGGTCTATTTTAACAGCAATCCTATCAAATTAGTGTGTCGTTGTTTACATTCAATTAAGCTAAGAAAATTTGAAAGATAGAAATATACTTGCTTGCAGAAAACTTTAACTTTCACCCCACCTACAAGTCAAATACAAGCTAGGGCAAAAGAAGAGAAAATATTATCATTACCCATCACAACTAATTCCATTGACAAGTTCATGAAAACTATATAGGAATTACATGAAATTGAATCCAATGTTTTATTTAAGTCATGTTACATCCATTAATAAGCTTTGATAAAGGGAAAAAATAAATCTAAGGAAATTGAAAATTTCCTCTTAAAAGTAGGGTTGATCATCAATCGGTCGGGGTCGGTTTTCGGCCGACCCGGATGCCAAAACTGACCACGTCCCCTTCTTAAGAGAGGAGCGTGAAACATAAGAAAATACTTGCTCAACAAATGCACCATATATACAAAGCAAACCATCGAAACTTGAAACACATCGCAAGTAACTCTAAATTTTACTTCTCTATTGGAACAGAGCAATAAAGAAACAGAGGAATTCTTCCTCCTAATACAGAGGGTTAAGGCATGCTCAACAGTCAACACTAAGCTGTAATGAAATTTTGTGAAAATTACTTATGGAAATGTATAAAAACAATTATGAGTCCGGCGTATTTAACAAAATTTTTTATATTCTATTAAAACGCTGAATTGAAATCGTTCTATAAATTTTATGTTGACGGTCTAAATCTGACCATTTATTTTAGATGAGGTCTTCCTTGAATGTATGAATGTATGTTGACGACTATTAAATGTCAATTAAAATTTAGTATAATTGACGGTTATTACATGTCAATTATTAGGTTTTTATTCACGGGTGTTAACTGTTAATAAAACACAAAAAATTGATATTATTGTCCATCAGCTATGCGATGTTTAAGTGGATGGTTAAAGCCATCAATATTTCCTCTTTTATTCCTGATTTTTAGCCGCCAAGAAAAGGGGAATTGTTGACTAGCAATGTGGAAAACAAAATCACATAAAATTTACGAAATTTGATGGAAATACTGTTAATAAAAATGTAAAAGTTGACGCGTCAACATTAAAATAAATGTTTGTTCATCCCTTTCATAGGTCAATATATGTATTTTTAAGTCAAATTGAGCTTAGCTCACCAAAAAGTCATGGGTTTGAATCTCACTCTCACCCCCACTCCAGACATTTAAAAAGCATAATAATCATAAATAAGGAAAAAATTTCATAAATATCTTTTATTTTGTTTAAAAAGGAAAATGTGTCTCTACTCTGTTGTGACTATTTTAAACGTCATGGAATCCATAATTTTATTTTTATTTTTCATGACATTGAAAAAACGTCATAAATAACGAAAAATTTGTAAATCTCCAATCTTTTCTCATCAAAATCGTGTCTCAACTCTTTCTTGACAATCTTTTTTTCGTGACGTTGAAATGACATCAAGAAAAGAAAAAAATTCGAAAAACTCTAATTCTCCCACCAAAACCAGCATTTTACATTTGAACATGATTAATGTGAATTGCATTATAGAAAAGAAACAAAAGAAGAACTATTTCCATTTCCTTTTAATTTCTCTGCCTCCCTCCGTCATTCACGTGTTGCATTCTTCTCTCTTCCCTTCTTCTATAATAATATTCATGTGAATACCCCACCACTATTCTCAAAGTGATCACAACAAACAACAAAATCCGTGGAATATATATAAGTTAGTGACGATATTTCATTCTTATGAAATCTTCCTCATGAAATTAAAATTAAAAATATAGTAGACCAAAGTGGTGGGACTAGAAGGTACATAAATCAATATAATATTTCAACTTTTTATTTTCTTAAGGAAAATTCACAAGAAAACAACTTTAATAGCAAAGCCCCATCCCCTGCATCTTGCAGACCAAGATGGAGGAGCGACCAAATCCATCGCTCGAGATTTTGGAGCTCTGCAAAATTAGTCCTTCTCCTTCTCCATCAGCACAATTTTCTCTTCCCTTCACCTTCTKCGATCTCCCCTTCTTCACAGTTCCGCCCACTGAGCGCCTACTTTTTTACTCCCTCCCCGCCGGCGCCGACGCCGATGCCTCCGATTCAATACTCCAAAAACTCAAAAATTCTCTCTCTCTCACGCTCTCCCGTTTCTTCCCTCTCGCCGGCAACGTCGTCTGGCCGGAGGATTCCCCCGAGCCCTTCATTCTTTACAAACCCGGCGACGGCGACTCTGTTTCCCTCACCGTCGCCCAAGCCGACGCTGCCGATTTCCACCGTCTCTCGTCGGACCAGATCAGGAAGGCCAACGAATCCCATTTCCTGGTTCCCCAATTCCAAGCACCCGACGACACTACTTGTGCCGCTCCGATTATGTGTCTCCAAATCACTTTATTTCCCGGCGTCGGATTTTCAATCGGCATCGCAACCAACCATTCGGTTGTCGATGGGAAAACGTCCACCATGTTCTTGAAATCATGGGCTTCCATTTGTGCCCACGAATCCGAATCGGATGATCTCCATCTCCCTACTCTCGATTTCGACAGGACGGCCGCCACGGATCCAGCTGGCTTGCATAAACTTTACCTCAACTGCCACCAACTTTTTCTCTCCCAACCCACTAATTTGGGCCAAAGGTTGAGACTTTCCCCCAGGGTGGCCGTCCCGGACGACGTGGCCAGTGGCACCTTCGAGCTCTCACGTGCCGACATCGACAATCTAAGGACGATGGCGGCGGGAAGTTGTTCATCAGATTCCACGCGCCGCCGCCGCCGTCGTCTATCAACTTTTGTGCTGACATACGCCCATGTCTCGAGGTGCATCGCCAAAGCCCAGCGGCTGGACCCGAAGAGGAACGTTGTTTTATCGTTTCTCGTGGATTGGCGGCTTCGTTTTGGGGGAAGTCTTGTGGGAGCGAATTATTTCGGAAATGGGGTAAGTGGGTGGGGGTTGTTTTTGGAAGCGAGGGAATTATTGGGAGAAAATGGAATGGGAGTGGTTTCGAACAAGTTGAGTGATCTAATTGCGGAGATGGAAGAAAAKGTGAAGCAGAGGAACGGAGTTGCTGAGTTGATCGACGACCAATACTTGGAGCGGTGGTTAAGTGAGATGAATACAAATACAAGCATTATTGTAGTGGCAGGGTCGCCGAGGTTTGGGATTTATGACATTGATTTTGGGTGGGGAAGGTGTACAAAAATGGAGATGACCTCGCTTACACCGGGTAGAACATTTTCTATGGTAGAGAGCAGAAATGAGAATGGTGGAGTGGAAGTTGGAATTGCACTTCCACATGATGTTATGAACCTTYTTTCTTCTATGTTCTTCGAGGGAGTGAAACTATAATCATAGCCATAGTCTTGGATGTGTCGTTTGATAATAAAAAACCGAGAACAAAATGTGTTTCCATTTATGTATTCTTACTTGTGTTTTAGGATCATGAGCCAGGATTATCTAGCTATGTTATCACAAGGGTTATGTTTGTGTTTTCTTGTTTGCTTTGTGACGTATTGTATCTCACACTTTAACCTCGGTGTATTTTATTATGATTAATTAAAAGCTTGTTCTTTTGTCTTCTCGATCACTTTATTTTTGTAGTTTTTAATGGGTGGACATTTTGTCAAAAAGTAAGRTTCATTTTATGTGATGYAGTTACGATGCCATGTTAAATCATCTTGATTAAGAAAGAAAAAATTATGTAATAATTATATAGGAAGGATAAAAAGATTAGAAATCCTAGATCATGTTTTTATGTATTTTTTAGTTAGGAACAAATTGAAGGTTGAGGAGAGGAGGAAAATCCATGTGTTTGAGAGCTAAGTGTTGGGCTTCAAAATTGGTAACTAATATATGTTTCTGATTAAGAAATTTGCGGAAATAAATAAGGAAAATTTGAAAGTTGTAATGTTTTTATGGGTTTCTTCTTTAAGAAATCATTTGAATTTGTGAATKGGTTGTTATTGTTATGTTTAAGGAATTGTTTGGAAAAAAAATTTGAATTTTTGACCTTAATCAATAACTTTTCAGAGAAGATAAGTTTTATTTGTGGGTTTTATGATAGAAGGACTCGTGTTGGTCTGTAGGACCGTCTACGCTCGCTCAGAACTAGAGACGGTGGCGCGGCCAGATCGTAAATGTTGGGATGATTACGATCAAATCCAGATTCTGAATCCTAGTACAAATCTTGAGCTTGGGGTGTTTCAGAACCCAGCAATGATTGCTACATTTTGAGCATATTACAAATGTAACAAAATTTCTTATGAATTTTAAATAATACTCAGCTATTAACTAGTCCCTAGAAATCTCTTGACCACTGTATGTTTGTAATAAGTGTACCAGAGAGAAATACAAAAATTGAGAGTAGTTGAGTATTATTTATAAATTGGTCTGTAGATTTGTATTTTTCTTTTCGAAGACCATTTAGTAAAATCTTACAAAAAAATAAATAAATAAAAAGAGAAAAACGAGATTATAATGGCAACATAAAATACCAGCCGCCCAGCAATGAGCCAATTATTGCTCTTTCTTTAGGTGGAGGAATAATGGGCGACAGCTTTGGTAAAAAAATCCTAAAAAGTTAAGAAAATAATAATAAATAAAAGAAAAGGAAATCCCACACATTTTTCTCAGTTCCAATTTTATTTACTTTCTTGTATTTAAATTCTTTGAAAGAAAAAAGCACAATTAATTAAAAGGAGAAAAAAAATTCCACAATAGCACCAGAAGTGTCCGTGGGATCGATTGAAGTACTTTTTAACTAATTTAATTCCAATTGTAAATTTATTTAAGAGATGATCAAATTTAATTTGTACAAATTTTGATTTTCATTAAAATTAGTGTACGACCGTAAGGAAAAGGAGAGACAAAAAGAAATGTTGGCAGCAAAAACTCCAGCACACGAGACTCACATAGAAACATAAAAGATAAAGAAAAAACGGGAACCACGTCTCCTAATTAATAGGAGAGAATATATCGTTCAAAAATAGAAAGAAAAGAGGATTCTTTTGAATACTTTTAATTATAAATATCTGGACTCAACTTGAAAAAATATATAATTTGTATTTGTATATTAATGAACACATGGCACACTCGAAAGGAAAGTAGTAGCAAAGATTTCCTTAATTTGGTAGATTAGAAATTTTACCTTGAGTTTGGTTTCTTTAATTTGGGGTGGGGTCGGATTCTCTTCCGATGATCAAGAAGATTAAGAACGTTCGACCTGACGATTCGAAGTTCGATTGGTTGGCGAAAAAGATGGTTGATCTTACGCGATTCCTCAAATGTGCGAGCTTTTTTATTGTCCTAGATCTTGCAACAAAGTTGCTCATGAATTAATGAGGTTTTTGGAATGTGGTTGGAGGATTGTCCCTACCTCTTCTTTCCGTTTGGGAAGACGGCTGGTTTTTTGTTTTTTTTTTGTATTTTGTTGTTCAAAAATAAAAAAGAATAATAATAATAATAATAACTCGTCATTAATTTTTATGCTTTTGTATTTTTGATGTTTATTATTTAATAGCAGCAACAGACAAACTTGGTTTGTTTTTGACATTTTCCATTTCCATCGTGAAAGCAAACGTTTTGAAAAGTATTATATTCCCATTTCCATCTTCAAAGCAAACGTGTTGAAAAGTATTAAATAAAACAAGAAAGATGGAGACAAATATAAGATTTGACGTGATTCACGTGAATAACCTTATGCTTGCAGGCGAAGGAATATACAATACGCTAATTACATACAGTGTCTTTAAAATATGGAGATTCATCCCATCATCTCCATCATTCAGCCCAAAAAAATGGAGCAACCAAAGCCATCGCTCAAGATTTTGGAACTCTGCAAAATCAGCCCCTCCCCATCTCCTTCTCCGGCAGCCGATCAGTTTTCTCTTCCCTTGACATTCTTCGATCTCCCCTTCTTCACAAGCCCTCCCACTGAGCGCATACTTTTTTACTCCCACCCCGCCGCCGATTCAATACTCCAAAAACTCAAACATTCACTCTCCCTCACGCTCTCCCACTTCCTCCCTCTCGCCGGCAACGTCGTCTGGCCGGAGGATTCCCCCGAGCCCTTCATTCTTTACAAACCCGGCGACTCTGTTTCCCTCACCGTCGCCCAAGCCGACGGCGCTGATTTCCACCGTCTCTCGTCGGACCAAATCAGGAAGGCCAACGAATCCCATTTCCTGGTTCCCCAATTCCAAGCACCCGACGACACTACTTGTGCCGCTCCGATTCTGTGTCTCCAAATCACTTTATTTCCCGGCGTTGGATTTTCAATCGGCATCGCAACCAACCATACGGTTTTCGATGGGAAAACGTCGACCACGTTCTTGAAATCATGGGCTTCCATTTGTACCCACGAATCTGAATCTGAATCTGAATCGAATCTCCCTACTTTGGATTTCGACAGGGCCGCGGCCAAGGACCCAGATGGGTTGCAGAAGCTTTACCTCAAGTACCACCAAATCTTTCTCTCCCCTCCCGACACGTCGGGCCAAAGGTTGAGACTTGCCCCCAAAGTGGCCATCCCGGACGACGTGGCCGGCGGCACGTTCGAGCTCACGTGTGCCGACGTCGAGCATTTAAGGGCAACGGCGGCCATGAGCTCGTCTTCCACGCGCCGTCGTCGTCTGTCGACTTTTGTGCTGACATACGCCCACGTGTCGATCTGCATCGTCAGAGCCCAACGACTGGACCCGAAAACGAAGGTCGCTCTGTTTTTCCCCGTGGATTGGCGGCCTCGTTTGGGTGGGCGTCTCGTGGGAGAGAATTATTTCGGGAACGGCATTGGTGGGTGTGGGTTGTTTCTGGAAGCCAAGGATTTTTTTGGGGAAAATAGAATAGGGGTGATCTCGAATCAGATAAGTGAAGTAATTATGGAGATGGAGGAGAAAGTGAAGGGGAGCACTGAAGTTGTGGAGTTGATGGACCATGTGTTCTTGCAGTGGTTTAGCAAAATGCCGGTGGATAAAAGAATTACAGTGGCTGGTTCGCCGAGGTTTGGGCTTTACGACCTTGATTTTGGGTGGGGAGGGTGTACAAAAGTTGAGATGACTTCCATGGGATTGGATGGGACATTTTCCATGGCCGAGAGCAGGAATGGAAACGGTGGGGCGGAAGTTGGAATTGTTCTTCCACAAGATGATATGAATCTTTTTTCTTCTCTGTTTTTCGAGGGACTGAAACTATGATCATACCTTCCAATATGTCTTTTGAGTAACGTAAGTCATGATTTAGCTATATGATCACAAGGCACTCCTATTTTGTTGTTTCCAAGTTAACTTTATGCTACTCTATCTTTCTTATGATAATCACACTTTGTTTTTGTGGTGTTTAATGGGTGGTTGCAATGGTTTACGCGAACAAGAGCAAAGTTATGCAATAGTTCTCGTCAAAACGAACATAATTTAACGGTAATTTATATACATCTCCGATTAAAAAGTTGTGAGTTCATCGTCTACCCCACATGAGATGGAAAACTGAACCTTCAAATTTTAAGACATATCTGAGAGTTATTTTTGTTATACTTCGTACACGATATAATGGAAAATTCTAAATCATTTTAAAGTGATTCACGCTCAATTAGATCACTTTTACCATTTACTAAAATCACTTGTATTTTGTTGTCAAACCGGCTGAGGTGCATATATTAAAAAAAAAAAAATTGATTGGCGCATGATTCAACACGATTTTATTCCAATACTTTTTTAATTGTCATTCAAGTGATTCACGCAAATGGCTCATTTATTATCTTTTTATTTAATTTTTTTAATATATTTAATTACCTCCCAACTTTCTCTACTTTCCCTCTCTATGGTTTAGTTGTCTTCCCTTCTTTTTATCTTTCATCTTTCTTCTCCTTTTCAAGTTTCATATCTATTTTTTTTCTTTCTCCATTTGGTTTTCTTATCCTCTCCTCCTCTTGCTTTCTCTTTCTTTCTCTCATTCTCAACTCCAACTTTTTGTCAATGGATGTGATTTTTTTTTTAATGCCCAGGCCATGGGGAGATAGAATCAGTATCTATTGAAAACACAAAATATATAAAAAAAAAAAAAATAGAAGCCAATTTGTCGAAAACGGTATCCTTGTATCATAAGTATCTCCATAATGGTATTATGCTGTTCACTTTGGGTATAACCCTCACGGCTTTGTTTTTTGGTTTCCCTCAAAATGTCTTAATCACTTCCTTGGACTTTGTTTGCACTCCTTATGAACTCAACTATCCTCTCTTCGAACAAAATCTCACTTGTATCTTTGCTTGCCCACCTTCAATCTCCTCCCCTTAACGAAGATACCTCGTCTTCCTACCAGTCTATCCCGATTCGATAGGGCATGTCTTGTTGTCCTCATACCTTCAAGTATCTCCACAATGGTATGGTATTGTCCACTTTGGTTATACCCTCATGGTTTTGCTTTTGGTTTCATCAAAAATGTCTCATACCAATGTAGATAATTGTCCTGTGGATCACTTTCTTTCCTAACCAATATAGGACTTTTTTTGCATTCCTTGCTGTTGGTTCGATTGGAAAAAGCATCACCACATCAGGCGGTCAGTTTCCATTTTGGAAACTGACCGCATGTTGATCGATGGGTATTTCAGCCTGAAAGCCAACTTGACCGACCGATGTACACCCCTAATGTGTAGTTTGAAATGAGGCACGGATCTGCGTTAGGTTTAGAGGGGCCGCCTGAAAAGTCGTTACTTAGTAAAGCATTCGTATGTCAATATAAAATATATTATATTGATATACTACTTCTTTTTAGTACAATATGATAGGATTGAAATTCAACCTCACGATATTTTAATCGGATATGAATACCTTAATCGGTTGAACCATACAAGGTACGAAATGAAAATGAAAAGGATATTTCTCAGATTCATGTGAATTCCTTTTTCAGAAATTTTTTATTTTTATATTTAGGTCCATCGGATCGAGGTATAAAATAAAAAAGATATTTTTCAGATTCATGTGATCCATGTGAATTCCTTTTTCAAAAAAAAGAAATAAAAAACTGATATTTCGGTCCGTGTACCAAGGTATAAAATAAAAAGATATTTCGGTCTGTCGGACGGAGGTATAAAATAAAAGGATATTTCTGAAATTCATGTGAATTCCTTTTTCAGAAAAAAGGAAAAGAAAAATAAACTTTTTTCCTTTTCTTTTAATTTCTCTCTTCCTTACCCTCGTGTTCACTCCATTTTCCTTCTCTCTCATGCAATTTTGACTTAGAAAAATGAATTTTCAAAATTGAACTAAAAAGTTGTACGCTAATAAGATTTATCTCACTTTTTAAAATTTTGTTTTTCTAACATTTTGACATGTTGGTGAAATTACTCTTCCTTCCTCTCCCTCAATTAGTCATTTTTTTCCCTTCAATAACATTGTTCATCGTTTTTTTCTTCTTATTTTTCTCTTTCGATGTTTTCATTCTTCCTTTTTCTCTTTCAAATTTATCTCAAGAATCTCACAAATTTCCCATCTCCATTACTCTAGGTAATAACGATATGGCATTCGCTTTCTAGATGGGGTAGTTTGTTTGTTATTGCTCGAGTCTCCCTCACTACACTCGGATCTCGGATCTCACTAACTATCGCTTGGATCTTACTGCTGGCGCTTTGGATCTTGCCATTATTGCTCGGATCTCTCTGCTATCACTATAGAGACAAAATGATGAGGAGAAGAAAGATACAAACTATAGAGAGACCTAAGAAATATAAAGAGAAAGATACTAGAGATGCAAGCGATAGTAATAGAGATACGAGAGATATTAACGATAGTGATAGAGTTTTGCTTCTTCAAAGCACAATATGCTCGAAGGTTAAGCTCCAGGGACAACTGACTTACTTGTATGAACTTGGTTTTTGAAAAGTAGAATGGTGGTTTTCTCTTCTACATAAAATTCTTCATTTAAACCTATCTCGGCTACGTACCCGACACAAACGGCTTATGGTTCAATAACGCAAAAAGCAAGATTCCTGCCACTTACAACAAGGACTTTTCTTTTAATAATGTTTTTTTATTAAACTTATTCCAAAAATATATCACCTAAAAAACTATTTCCAAGAATAATGCTTGAAAAATAGTTGTTCGTCTCTGGATGAGACGACCTATGAATAGGTAGTAGTAGGTTGTCTCTTCAAGAGACGACATGCAGACGTGGTGTCAATTTTTTGAAAAAAATTAAAAAGACGATCAACTAGACGTGCTTTATTCAAGAGACAACCAACTAGACAGCACTTTATGATCATCTCTTCAATGTTGCTTTTGAAAAATAGTAATAATAATTCTTATTATATTATATAATATAAATAGTATACATAGACTAAAATTATGTGTTGGTCAATGGGTAGGTGCCTAGATTGTTACATGTGCGGGCTTAAGTTTGAATCTCAGCCTTTGCAGTTTTTTATTTTTGATATTATTATTATCATCTGATTAAATAATTATTAGTTTTTAGTTTATAATTATTGTTGCACAGGTGAAGGGTATGGGGTGTTACGACCCTGATCTTGAGCATGCAACATGGTACGTTCGGCCTTGCGCGAGCCAATGTCAGAGTGTTGTCGGACGGTACACTCAATGACGGAGCAAGGTAGTGCAGCAATGCAGAGGTGCAGGTAGGTGGGCGCGCACGGCGGCACGACATGCAAGCACGTAGGCGAGTACATAGGCAGGTGGCACAAGAGGCGACAAACGCGTGTAGGTGGGCGTGCGCTTCAAGGGCATGTGCAACGGGCGCGGTGTGCGGGCACACGCAGGAGGCGTGCGGCCATGCGCGCGCACAGACGGCAACATGCGCAGGCATGCGTGCGACAGAATTGGTCCAATCGTGAACGGATCTTCCATAGGTGGTGGATAGTGGACTTAGTGGGAGGGTGGCCCAAGGAGGAGTGGTGGCTAAATTTGGGAGGGTGGCCCAATAATAGAGGAGTGGTGGCTAAATTTAGTAACACCAAATTTAACCAACACTATTTTTAGCAAGGTCAGTGGTGGAGTGGCACCACCATTATCTCCGACCTCCAAGTAGTGGGAAAGTGGACTCCAATTAACACTAAATTTAGTGCTGTAGCACTAAGTTTAGCATCCCGTTTGCCTATAAAATGGAGAGTTTGAGGAATGTTGAAGGATACAATCCAATCTGAGCATATCGAATCCAATCCTAGTGTGTCCAATTGTAGCCCAAATGGCACGAGAGAGTGTAGACTCCCTAGGGGAGGTGTTGTTCCTCTAGGAGAGTCGAGTTCCTTGTGAGTGGGAAGGTCGTGATGATGTATTTCTACACTAACTTTACGAAGGAACCATAAGTGTGTAGTGAGAGACTGTACTAAGGGCGATGTCCTTTAATTTTGTTAAAAGGAAGGGAAATGAGGTGCGCATGAGCTGGCAAAAAGGGGAGTAAGGTACCTGGTTTTTGTGTTTGGCTGAAGGAATTGCCTCCCGAGTTTGCTTTAGTTAGCTTTGGTTGTTTGGATATTGTTACTTCCTACTGTTCAAAAGAAAAAAAGTATACCGTCCTAAAATAAACATTTTAGTATTTCTATTAAAACATTCATTCATTTTAGACCTTGGCAAAAACAACCATAATTCAACGGTAACTAGAGGTTATAAGTTCAATATCCTACCTCCAAAGGTTGTACTAAAGAAATGAAATTGTATTGTAATATTCCCCATTTTTTTCACTTCTGAATTGTCTCGGGATTCCATACGTTGATGCATTTGGGAATGGCTATTATATATTATTGCAAATATGTTGCCATTATTTATGGTACTTTGTTTTTTTACGAGAGAAATCTAATCCAAGTTGCAATCTTTGTTAAGTTTTAGCAAAGACGAAAGAGGAGCTTTAAACTCAAGCAAAAAATCAACTCATCGATCCAGCCTATTATAAACCTGTGTAATGGTATTGTTGCATGCATATTTTTGTTCATAAACACTACAAAATTAAAAGTATGAGCAGAGAATAATATAGCAAGGTTCAGATAATGTAACGAAAGATATTGGACATTGAAGTGTGAGACGATAAACCAAGACACACTGCCAAACAAGCAAGAAGCTTTTTAACAACATTTTCCATACGTAAGCCAAATTTAGAAAACTAAAAAAACACAGAGAAATTTGGTTAAAAAGGATTCAATAGATTATAGTTTCAGTCGCTCAAAGAACAGAGAAGAAAAAAGATTCATATCATCCCGTGGAAGAGCAATTCCAACTTCCACTCCACCATTTCCATTCCTACTCTCCCCCATAGAAAAGGTCTCACCAGTTGTCATCGAAGTGATCTCCACTTTCCTGCACCTTCCCCACCCAAAATCAATGTCATAAATCCCAAACCTCGGCGACCCTGCAACTGTCATGGTTTTAGCTATGGGCATAGCACCAAAAAACCTCACATAGAAATCGTCCATGAACTCAACAATTTCATTCATCTTCACCTTCTCATCCATCGCCACGATTAGATCACTCAACTTGTTCGAAACCAGTCCCATCCCATTTTCCCCCAATAATTCCCCCGCTTCCAAAATCAGTCCACACGGTCCAACGCCGTTCCCGAAATAATTGGCTCCCACAAGACTTCCCCCCAGACGAGGCCGCCAATCCACGGGGAACAGCAGAGCAACCTTACTTTTCGGGTCCATCCGTTGGGCTTTCACCACGCAGGTCGACACGTGGGCGTATGTCAGCACAAAAGTCGACAGACGACGACGGCTTCCCGCCGCCGTCCTTAGATTGTCGATGTCGGCACGCGTGAGCTCAAACGTGCCGCCGGCCACGTCGTCCGGGACGGCCTTTTTTGGGGCGAGTCTGAACGTTTGGCCCAAATTTCTGAGATGGAAAAGAAAGATATCGCGGTACTTGAGGTAAAGTTTATGCAACCCATCTGGATCCTTCAGGGCGGTCCTGTCGAAATCCAAAGGAGGGAGATGCGATTCCGAGGATTCGTGGGTACAAATGGAAGCCCATGATCTCAGAAACGTGGTGGACGTCTTCCCATCCACGGCCATATGGTTGGTTGCTATGCCAATACAAAATCCGACGCCGGGAAATAATGTGATTTGGAGAGACAAAATCGGAGCGACGCAAGTAGTGTCGGACGTTTCGAATTGGGGAACGAGGAAATGCGATTCGTTGGCTTTCCTGATTTCGTCCGACGAGAGATGGTGGAAATCAGCGGCGTCGGCTTGGGCGACGGTGAGGGAAACAGAGTCGCCGGGTTTGTAAAGAATGAAGGGCTCGGGGGAATCCTCCGGCAAGACGACGTTTCCGGCGAGAGGGAAGAAGTGGGAGAGCGTGAGAGAGAGAGAGTTTTTGAGTTTTTGGAGTATTGAATCGGAGGTGTGAGATGGGGCATCGGCGGCGGCGGGGAGGGAGTAAAAAAGTAGGCGCTCAGTGGGAGGTATTGTGATGAAGGGCAGATCGAAGAAGGTTAAGGGAAGAGAAAATTCAGCTGATGGAGAAGGAGATGGAGATGGACAAATTTTGCAGAGCTCCAAAATCTGGAGCGATGGCTTTGGTTGCTCCATCTTCGGCTGCAAGATTGGACGATGAGGGTGTCTGGCTGTTAACAATCTCCCTATTTTAAAGACTATTTCCTTCGCTTGTAATCAGCATGTGCTGGTCATTCACGTGAATCACGTCAAATATATATATATATATATATATATATTTTTTTCCTTATACTCTCCCCTCCAAAGTATCTAAAGTAACATGCGTTGGTTATCAAATTTCTATCCCATTATAAAAGAAGTAACCAAATATGAAAATATCAATAAAATTTCATTATATATTATATATACATATATGTTAATATTAATAATTTTTAACTTATTTAGAAATAGAAAAATATTTATTTGTTAATTTAAATATTTTTTACGATATTTATATTTTTCTAACTTTTACCTAAATATCCATCGGCATAAATATTTTTTCGATATTTTCATGAAATTGAAACTTCGACATTTTCACGGACATAAACATTTCAACATTGCTCCTCCTTTAGTATACATGTTCCACAACCTTCTCTTTCCATCCAAGGAGGAAAAAGGTTATCTTCAATGGTATGATATTATCTGCTTTAGACATAGTTTTCATGATTTTGTTTTTGATTTTATCTAAAATATCTTACGTTAATCAAGTTAATTATTTTTCGTTTATACGTCGTAAATCACTCACTTCCTTGACCAATTTGCACACCTCTAAGATTTTTCACTTTTTCTTCTTTCTTTCTCTCAATGTTACCTTTCAATCACTTTCTCATTTGACATTTGGCAAAATACAATTAGAAAAGTGGAATTTTTCAACGGACCTCATAAAATGCTCTTGTTACATCACCGACCCAATTGATTAATGCTGAAGGTATAATGGTACTTGACTCAACATCCTTCTATTGGCTGCAAAGTTGGCGGAAGAGTTTTCTTATCTATCAACATCTTAAATTAATACTCAACCATTCGAACTAAAATTAAGGTTAAAAAATACTTTTAATCCAATACTTTCCGTAAAGTAACAATTTAGTTTTTAAAAATTAATGTGTAACGATTTAGTTCCTATGTTTTTAAACTGATAACAATTTAGTCCTTAAATTTTAATATGTAACAATTTAGTCTTTATAATTTAAAATTGGTAACGATTTAATCCTTATCGTTAATTTTTTTTGTTTGTTAAGTTTCTTGTATACATAGATTGATAAACTAAAAAGGGACCAAATATATTTATGAATTAGAAAGATTAAATTGTTATATGATAAAATTTGACACTTAATTTTAATTTAAAAATTTACGATAAGAACTAAATTGTTACAAATTTTAGACTACAGAAACTAAATCGTTACAAATTAAAATTCAGGAACTAAATTGTTACTTTAGGGAAAGTATAGGGACTAAATCGTTACAAACTAAAGTTGAATGACTAAATTGTTACTTTAGCCTCTGCATCTAGCATTGGGTAGACCTCAGACAATAACTGTCCTAGCTCTACCGTATCTTTTGTTTCATTTCTTCTGGAACAATCACAAACACTTTTTTGATTATGGATCTACTACCAGAAACTCAATGAAAGTACATGGACCAAATGTGTTTTTTAATCTAAAATTAAAAGACATGGGTTCTAAGACAGAAGAAAGATGAATGAATAATAGCCCATTGAATTAATTGTCCTTAATTAGCTAGCTAGTATCCGGATATCCGGATTCGAGGGTTTATTGGATACACAAGTACACGTAGAGTTTCATAAGGAATCTGATGTATTGTTTAGTTTTTCGAATGCTTGGCTTTGGAGGTTGCTATTGGAATAATGTGGACAACGGTTGGGTGTTGGCAAAATATTGAATTAGAAGTCGTCTCACATTAGAATAGTACAATGATGGTCTCTAAGTACTAGAAATTATTCTACATCGAAAAAGTACAATAAGGAGGTGTGTTCCAAAAGAAGTTTATGAACTTCATCATGAGTTTGAGTTTTAATCATCCCAATTGAAATAAAGCATGATTGTTCACTATGAATACTGTGGATTGTTCACTATTTGCATACTCGCTAGAAGTGTAAAGTAGATATGTCATTCTTTATGAGTCCAATGGAGATTGACGTAGAGAAATTTGACGAAAGAATCAACTTCGACTTGTGGCAAGTACAAGTTATAAAATATGGGTTACACGGGGCATTAAAGGGAAGACCGAGTGAAAGTGCTTGTGAAAAGCTAAGCGGTGATGGTGGTCCAGTGGAGTCCAGTTGGTGGTTTCAGTAGAGGTTCTAAGAAGTCCAGTATGAGTGATGAAGATTGGGAGGAAATGGATTTGAGGGCTAGAAGCGTGATACGAACAGGTTTTGCTTAGAATATTCTTGCAAATTTGCATAAAATTTCGACAGCCAAAGAACTCCGGGAGAAACTCAAAGCGTTGACGCTGCGAATGGAGGAAGGTACGAAAATTTCAGATCATTTGAGTTAGAGGCGATCGAAGTGAAGATAGATTACGAAGATATAAGGCACTCAGGCTCATTTTGTCACTTCCACCTTCTTATGAACATATGAAGTCGATCTTGATTTACGGGAAGGATACCTTGAACTTTGCCAAGGCTACTAGTAAACTGTTGTCAGAGGAAAAAAGGCTGAAGAGTGAAGGACGTACTTCACATGAAGATTCAGCACTAGTAGCTAGCAATTGGAAGAAGAAGAAAGACTCCGTGTAAAAGAAAGCTTGTTGTTGAAGATGCGGACAGTCTAGGCACATGAAGAAATATTGTTCTAACAGAGTCAGTTTGTCAAAGGGCTCTGGGTCGGATGCTGACAGTGTTTTTCTCATCAGGGGAGAGGATGATCAGTTCCTTTGAAGAGAGATATAAATCATCATCATAGTATGTCTGCTTTACCATGATAAAAGATATGATGTTAGCGATTCCACAGGTTTACACATGGACATTGGCTTGGCGGTTATGCAGGGTGTGTGTGGTGGAAGTTATTTAGATGTCTGAAGAACTTCCAAGTGAGCCAAATAGGTGGAAGTTGCACCATAAATTTCAGCAAGATTTATTGTGACGAAGGAAGAAAAATCTTGGAAGGCGACGTTCCAAGTGATCTACTTTTGTGGTGGAGTATGTTATAGTTTTTGAATTGAGAATTATGATTGTCAATGAAGACAATGAGAACAGTAGAAGCTGTGAATTTTTCAATATCTTGTCAAGGTAGAATTTGTTGGATTTTGACAAAATATTGTAATAGAACTTGTCCCACATTCGGAGAGTACAAGAATGGTCTCCAAGTGCTAGAATTTGTCCTACATCGAAAAGGTATGAAGAGAAGGTGTGTTCCAACTACTATAAAATGAGCACATCTGCTTGAGTTTTAATCATCTAAATTGAAATATTTAAGTCCTGGTATATCAACTCTAGTTAAATTGAGCAGTATTTATTTTGAAATAGTGTTTTGTGTAATTTGGGTCAGGGAGAGAAATCTGTATGATTGTAAAATTTTTCACATAGTAGATTTTGTGGGGCGTGATTTTTTCTACGATTTGGAGTTTTCCATGTTAATTATTGTGTCTCTTTATTTTATTGTTTTCTTTAAATTTCTTCGTTATTTTCTGTTTAGTCTTGTGACGTAAGTAAAAGATTGTTTTTCTCATCAAGTACCTCTTGAAAGGGAATAATCACGTAAAAGTTTGGTGGAGTGGGTTTGGGATAAGTGGAGAACTTCGTAGGGGTGTGGATGAGAAATTGCAATCCAACCGACATATCATTTGATACTTGTCAACTATTGTTTATATTTACTAAATGTATATAATTTTTAATAGGATGAATCTGGTAGACTGTCTCCCTATTTTAAAGACTATTTCTTTACTATGAAAAATGTGACTAAAATGCTTACTAGTCAACGGTATTGTGATGCTGACAGTCATGTGGTCTAATAATAATATGTGTTTGCATTTTCTTTTTTTATTCAAGTTCAATATTTCATCAATATTTACTTATTCCGCAAATTTTTTATCTTACCTATGTTTATTTATCCTTAATTCCGTAATTAGGATTTCTTACTTTTTTTTTCAATGTTAATCTAAATAATAAATCAATTTTTTACTTTTTGTTTCTTTCCTAAAATCATTGATCTCTTATTGTATTGTATTTTTCTAATTATTAATTATATTTTATATGCAAAATTCTTCGTGGAGAATATAGAAGATATAAATTTACATGGATAGAGATAATATACAGCTTAAGTATCAATACTCAACTGAAGTTGCAAAGTTGATTATTAGATTGGACTTTAGTTACATTGAGAATGTATATAAGTTTAATGTCAATTAAAGACCGTAAGAGAAAAACACCGCTAAAAGAAAAAAAATAGATATATTTCAAGGACAACTTTTTGTTGCTCAATTAAAAGAGGGTTTGACCAAGTAGACAAGTAAAGAGGAACTACAGTAAATGAATATTGAGTAGTGTTCTCTTTGTAAATTATTAAATTCTTTGTAAATTATTAAATTCTTTAAATACATAAAATTTTTCATTAAAGATATAAGGATGGAGATTAGAACATGAATTTTTATTTTCCAATATTAAGATTTATTTTGGTCATATTTTTTAATTTCATTTATGCCACCCACAATTAAAATTCACGTTTTATTTCTAAAATGTTGATTAATTAACATTTGACATTTAAACATAAAATAAAATTAATTTTTATGGACTTTAATTGATTTAATAAATTCGATAATAAAAAATAAAATATTAGTAACCATTTCTAAAATGTTGATTAATTAACATTTGACATTTAAACATAAAATAAAATTAATTTTTATGGACTTTAATTGATTTAATAAATTCGATAATAAAAAATAAAATATTAGTAACCATTTCCACTTGTGTTGTAGGGTGCCAGCATCTTTGGTACAAACAAATGACCAACTGAATATGAAGTACACAACCCAACTTTTCATATGATCTAACTGCTCTTTCTTTTTCAATTTTTGTAGAGAGATATAACGATATAAAAAAAATCGGGAGATGATAAAGAATACATGGACAGCACCCTCTTTTTGTCAAATTAGGTGGCAAACACACCTCTCTACATAATTAGTGGTAACTCAAAAATAATAATATTTTATGAAACTCTCAAAAGAAACAT